AGATTAAAGAAGAAATTGACGCCGGCCGAAACAAAAGGACGGTTTGTCGGGCCAGCCCAGTCACCGTGACGGATCAAACGCCGAAATCGTGCTGGCAGCACGTGTACTGGCCGATTTTCGACCAGTTTACAAATGCACTTTTATCCGATGGAGGGAGGCCAAAAGAGAAAAAGTAACGAAAGATGAAAAATTAATTTCCTCAAAGCGTTCAGGGCGGACGGCGTGAAATCGTAAATTATTATGCTAATTCCAACCATCAATCATCACTCCATTTTCATTGATGCTCTTCAACAAGTGGTGAAAGATCATAATCGCTTGCATTTCGTTTAACATCAATTATATTCTCACGTAACGACCTAAAACAGATTTACGCCTCATAAAACGCAAATCGGACGTTTATTATTTGCCCTTTTCTGGACTGTCTTCTACCCTTCCTGACAAATAATATAAATTTTGACCTTCGTTAACTCTCATTACGGCTACACGGTGTAAATCACAAACAATTGTACGAAAACGACGACTTCTACTTGGGCTTTCACGACTAATTGACGAATTAATTTAAAAATTTGTCGTTAGTTGTACGTTCAATGTTCATAAGAGATAACTAGATAAAAGAATCAAAAACGCCAGACACAACGAGAAAGAGGGAGAGAGAAAGGACACACAAAGATACAAGTATATCCTACACGGCAAAGCCAAAAAAAGAAAAAAAAGTATAGATCTACTGACAGATAGATTGATATATGTAGATAAACAGAACGAGAGCCAGAACTACAGATTCAGAGACAAGAGATATGTAATTGAGGACAGATATACAGAAAGAAAGAAAGAAAGAAAGAAAGAAAGAGAGAGAGAGAGAGAGAGAGAGTGAGAGAGAAAGAGAGAGGGAGAGAGAGAGAAGAGAGACGGAGAAAGAGAAAGAGAGCTTAGGAAATAAAGGAAGAGAAACATTGCTATAAGTAAAGAGGTTTTTTTTTAAATTATTATCAAGTAAACAGGTAAGATGTGCTATATACATAAAGAGATGGAAAGGTTGAAAGATGAGAAAGTAAGAGAGAGGAAGTGAGAGAACGAGAACGAGAGTGAGAGAGAGACGAGAGAGGGGGAGAGACATGGCTACATAAGTGGAAAGCTACGCAGATAGAATTATAGATAGTCAGAGATATAAAAAAAAAAGGAAGAGAAACAGATAAATAGGTAAGATAGGTTCCAGAAACGTAGATAGAAAAATTAAGAGGAAGAGAAGTGAGAGGAAGAAGGTTTTGGTCTATTCATCCAAGAAGATTTTCATGTCATCTTTGGTGTGATAGTGAATTTGAACCATATACTTTTTAGACACCTCGTTAGAAGAAAACTTCTAAAAATCCAAATTACTGAGAAAGTATAGTCTTGGGATTTCCTGTTGAGGTTGGCGGGAAGGTGTACATAAAAGTTGGTAGAATGACTTTTTGTATCATTCTTTTTAATGCCGCTTAGATTTGAACGTGCGGAATTGAACGGCATTAAAACCAGCTTCTCATTGGAACGTCGCGTCGGCTGCAGAGGTAGATCGGCGGGTTTACTCTTTCGATTCTTGTGGACAGAAGTGTTTGTAACTCCTTCAACCCGATGAGCGTTTAATGCTCAAAATCCGGTTCGTTGTAAACAAATCTACAATCATTTACAAAAAAGTGGATCTACATACCACCTTGTAAATTATGTGTATGAACAAATAAAATGGACACACAGGACAACTACTGATTGAGGCAAAAGGTCGAAGCATCTGACAGGCCAAAACAGCAAAGAAAGTCAGACCAGATCAGAAACGACTAAACAATAAGATCGTCGCCTAATGACGATAGAGAACAAAGCAGTAAAAATCAGGCACATCACAGGTGTTCAGTTACGAAACATACAATGCCAGTAAAATGGCTGAGAACTTGCGTGATCATAAATTAATGTTCGGATTTGCACCTTAAGCTGTAGTGTGACAGGATAGTCGGCATCGTTAGTCTTGTCGGGCGGATGTTCACAGCTTTTTAGACACCTCCAAGATCTTGCACAAATACTGAAACACTGATTGACTATTTGCACAATATGTTTTTACACACAGCCAAGACATAAATTTGCGGATTTGACAGTCAACACTTCACAACATCGCTGTTTTGGATCGGTCCAAGATCGAAAGTCAGTCAGCTGACGGGTTCAATTCTTTCGCCTGCATCTCTGATGTGTTCGTGAATTGTTCCAACTAATTTTTAGACACCTGCTTGACTTTAAACCTTGTGAGGATAGTTACAACGGTGTGATACAAGTATTCAGAAATAAGAACGGAACAGAACCTCTATAAGTGTTTTGTCTTTGTACAATAAGCATAGAGAGGTTTTGTTCCGTTCTTATTTCTGAATACTTTTATCACACCGTTGTAACTATCCTCACAACTTCACTAGTTCTCTACAAGCTCTTTTCCCACAAGAGTTTTGCACAAATATTTTGCATCTTTGACGCTGTTTGACTGGTTGCACAGTCAGGTTTTTCAAATCAGTCAACACCTAAATTTCTACAGCCAACTCTTAACGCTTTATAAACTGTTTAAAAGTCCATGGCAGTTTTTAACGTTATTTAAACGTAACGAGGACATTTTTTTACAACATGGCCAAAGGAATCTGCACAAAAGTGTTCGTATCCTTTTTAAAAAGATAGTTCCTACTCACAGTAAGTTGTTTTGCAATGATCCGGATTTCGAGCTTTTAGCTCATCATCAGGTTGAAGGACTTCTACAACACGTCTCTCGACATGAATTGGAAAAGTGAACCAAAAGTGCATTTGCAAAAATGAGTTATAATAAATATTATAATAATCCGGAAAATAATTAGGCGGATATGCAATATTACAGTCTCTTGTGAAAGGTTAGAAGAAACGCTAATTAATAAATAAAACTATTAATTAGAATACATCTATATTTAGACTGATTTACTGATATTAACGCCCATACGTTGTAATTTATGCAAAATTAACTTCAAATCATGCTTCTGCTCACTTTGATCCTTTTTGAAAACAACACGCAGATTTAGCGTATAAAATGTTACATATAATTCACTAGTTTTCGTGGTCCGCTTGACTAGTTAATATCTTTCAATTAATTAAGGTTTTTAGTTGAGATAGAAAAATCAGTCATTTTTAAAAAGATAGTTCCTACTCACAGTAAGTTGTTTTGCAATGATCCGGATTTCGAGCTTTTAGCTCATCATCAGGTTGAATGAGTTCTACAGCCTGATGATGAACTAAAAGCTCGAAAGCCGGTCGTGCAAAACAACTTACTCTGACAAGGAACTATCTTTTTAAAAAGGATTGACCAGCACTGCTCTCACTGCAGCATTCATCATTTTTATAAAGTGTTCGTATTCTGCTGCTATTTATGACCGCGTGGTATTAATTATTTTTTTAAATTAAATTTATTTATTAAAACTGGTCTTATTAGACCAACCATTAATTTTACAATAATATTATAGAATAAATAAATGTTTACGTTCTTATAAACCCATTGGTACAATAAGATTTACATTTAATTATTCATTATTCATTTTTAACTACACAAGTTCATTTTTGTTCTTTTTAATCTTCTGACCATGTTTCGGTTATGTAAGAGTTTGGTNCGATTGTGAGCGACGGAACATGATCCACCTTTTTGTTTGTAAAGATTAGATGGACTGATTTATGCTGATTTAGCTTGATTTTCCATTTTTTTGTCCATTCGTTTATCTTTTTACATGCATTTTGGTAGAATGGGTGATAGTCGGTCTTAGTGATATCACCGCTGTGTCATCTGCAAACGTTGCAATTTTTACTCTATTTTCGGAAAACCACTGGTGTATAACAAATAAAGCAGTGGACCTAATACGCTACCTTGCGGCACTCCTGCATTTTTGTTTTTAATTTTGAATATTCATCTTCTTGTTTGACTCTAAACAGTCTGTCAGTTAGGTAGGAACTGATATTATCGACATATTGGTAGCATACCTCCTAGTTTCTTGATGAGTCCTTCATGCCAGACCTTGTCAAAAGCTTGTGAGACATCAAGGAAGATTTATGAAAATGGGAGAAACATTTTACAGAAATGTAAAAAATATAGACCCCAATGCCATGCTCGAATTATTATCAGTGATTGAAGTTTCTAGAGATTTATGTTCAATGCATCATAAGCTACAGAATGATTTATGTAGCATTATGATTTATGTAATTAACTGTGTTAAAACTCGATTCATCGTGATAATGATTCTGTATTATTAGATTTAATCAACTAATTTTAGAATTTAAGAAAATAGTCGGTTAATTTTTGTAAACAAGGAAATACGATGTTTTGTGTCATAAAGACGAGAAAAGTGAAGTGACTACAATTATCAAGATTAACCCTATCTCAACGGTCAATCAAATATCAAATAAGGAAAACAAATCGCCGAATTTTTTTTTAATGACGCGCTAAATAAGTTTGGAAGATAAAACGGTTATGACTTTATTTTAAGCCTTGCCAGTTAAGTCATAAAAGTTATTAATCGATGATTTCGAGAAATTTAATTTAATCAATGATGTTTGCAGATGTTATTATTGAAATATCTTACGCCGTATTTAATTTTTTTTTTATTGATTACGTTTTTTCAATAAAGGGATCGAGCTTGGAGATAACCTCCTGTGTACAAACATATAGGAATGAAATTATAATGTTTTGTGCAGGGGTCATGATACTTTTTTCAAAACCAACCATTGCAAGTTTATATTTTATTTGGTGCAATAAAAATTGATGACTGCGTTCAGTAGAATGCGAAGAGGAGTAATGGCAGGATTTTCCTGAGTCCTTGGAGGAGTAATGTAATTAATAAACAAAGAGCGATGAGGCGAAGCCGAATTTCGGAAAACGAAGTTGAAGAAAGGGTTCACCTGTGAAGTTATTGGTAGAGGGAGGAAAGGAGGGTTGGTGGGGAATTTCCTGGAGGGGGCGGGTAGAGGGAGGCATGGCGACCCGTTCCTCTCAGTCTTCATAAGGAGCGTAGTTAAGAGGGTAGTGCTTCGACTAGGGAAGGTCAAAAATTTCGGTGTAATTGTACAGACACATCGTCTTCTCACCCTCGAAAGACCCCGCAAAAAAGAGGCGCAGTGTTCACCGACAGATCCGGTCCGAAAGTGTGTGAAAACTCGGCCTATTTCGGGTTCCGTGAGTAGTAGGATGAGGCGGCGGCTATGATCCTCACGTGTCCGCAACTTCACCTCCTGCTTGTTTTCGTCTGTTTGGCGAGCGGCTGCGGCCCTGGACGCGGCTCGGGCCGGAGGCGGCCCGGTGCGAAATTGGTGCCCCTCGTCTTTAAGCAGCACGTGCCTAACGTATCGGAGAACACCCTCGGGGCGAGCGGCCTCAGGGAGAAAAGGATTACGAGGAAAGACCCGGCCTTCAAAGATCTGGTGCCAAACTACAATGTCGACATCATCTTCAAAGACGAGGAAGGAACAGGGGCAGACCGGCTCATGACACAAGTAAGTACTAAGTACTCTCTTTATCACTCCTCGTGAGTCTTCACCAGCGCTAGAGTCCTTTTTCTCCATCCCTGCCCAGGCCCCAATGCGTACTATTCTCTTAAACTTCAGAATACTTCTAATTATGATTAAATGCCTAATTTTCTATTTCTAATAAGATTTAAAAGTCTTATCTTTTTGAATATTTCCTTATCACTTTATATACCAATTCTGATCATCGTGATGGATCGCGTCGTTCGCAAAACTTCCAAACTTTCTCAAATATTAATATCCCGTGAGCAATAAATGAAACTTTTAAGTACAAAAAAGCACTAAACTTTCGTTAAATAAAAAATATAGTTTGATGGGTGACGGTGCGGCGGGCTCACACAGCATACAAAAATGACAACCCCTTACAATTATAATCTTTCAAGTTCAAAAAAGTCATTAAAAAAGTCGTAATGGCTGTAATTAATACTGTTAATAATAATTTACATTATTTTTTCTCCGTCTTTTTAATGTTTTTATCTTGCTCACTAAATACAATCGTCTTAAAATGTTTCATTTGTTTTATGAAACTTTTTTTAATTTTTATTATATTGAGTCAGCTGTCATGATATATAAAAAATTGTAAGAAGTCAAATGCGGACCCTAGACGTTTGTAGAAATAACTTTTCTTTTGAAATGAAATTATAAACGATTATTCAGAAAAAGTGAGATGCGGTCTGGTGTGATGTAGGTTTCAGAAGAACGTTTTCGATCTTTATTGAGATCATCTTCAGGGCCTGGGATTTACAAACATTGTTTAAATTTAACAAAAACATGTAGGATGTGGAAAAAAGTGAATTTATACAATGCAAAAAAAATATATTTTTTTTAAATATTCGATCAAAGTATTTTTACTCACTAATCACCACACATTTAAATTATAAAAGTTTTTCAAAATTTCATTTCATCCGTTTGTACCGCAAGGGCGTTGTTGAAATTGATCAAATGGACGTACATTGGGTTAGTATTCAATTTACAAACAATAAAAAAAATCACATTTTTTGATCGAAACTTTAACTCCATTTAAAAACGCGTTACAAATTATTTTTCTAACGTAAATTCGCCGGGTTGTTTGATCTTCAACATGGTACAATGATTAAAAAGTTAATCATTACAAAAAAAAAGAGTATGTACGTATATAAATCTTTCTTTTTAATTTAATGATTAAACGTATATTTTAATTAATTATAATTTTTCTCTAAGGTCTTGATTGAGATGAAAAAGCTACTGTTAATAGCGGGATTTGATCATACAACTTTCGGCTATATATTTGCACAATTGGCTATATAACAGGCTATTAACAAATAGTAATTAGACAAGTAGTTAAGTTAGCTCAAAGCGCTAAGAATCAAATTCTGATTACACAATATTTGAAAATAAGGCAAAAAGAGAGAAAATTCGAGAGATTGTAGGCTGAGATGGAGGGATGGTGTCTCAGTGGATCGAAGTCACGTTAGCCCAAGTGCTTTGAGCAACGTTGTATTATCGCGGGTTCGAATCCCGCGAGTCACATTGGCTTTTTCATCTCCACCAAGACCTTAAAAGTAGGTTTGGTTCAGCAAATATCATTTTTACCTCCTTTTTTTAAATTAGCACGAGGGCACATTTACGCTTGATTGTCGAAAATGATTCATATCATAAGTAAATACTGTACGAATTAGAATTATATATTAAAATAAAATATGTTTATTTTAATTTTTTCGTTATTTTTTTAAAAATTCTATTTGCCCATGGGTGTTCATTGCTCCTGGAAGCTGGATTCATTGAATTCCAAGTTGAAGCTCAGCGAAATCGGAATTAAAGGACGGGCTATAAACGCTGATTGTAAAGTGACACTTCTACAGCCCGTCTAAAACGCTTCCCGCTATCATTTTACAGCGCGGTTGAGTGGTGGCAATCTAATTTTTTTTTTCAAATTCTCAGTCCACCTGTCAAATTGGAACGTAACAAGACCGGGGGTAGATAGCCGTCTTCGAACCCTAGCCGGTTTTTCCTTTTTAATGTTGTTACTTCAAAGGCTGCATAAAAGATTTTTAAAAGGGTTATTTGACGGTCACGTATTTACATTTCGTCACGATTTGTTTCGTAATAATGTAATAGGGCCAAAAGGTCACGTGCTTGGTACTGCGTTGAACGTCTTTACTCCATTTTTGGATATAACCTGGATATTGACTTAATTGTTTGCCCTAATTTACATAAATAACTATATTAAAGCGTTAAAAAATAGGATAACTGAAATCTAGGTAAATAGTGTGATTAGGCCGAAAGAAATGGAACCCCCCCCATTTCAATTCCAAATGTTCCAAAAAAAATAGCAATTGCGGATACGTCTTGCGAATGTTAAAACCCGATTCGCCGAGGTTGTTAACAACTTTATGAATTATTTAGAAGGCGCCAAAAAGGAGTTAAAAGGTTTACAGGGCATGGACCGACACTTACTGCTCGTACGCGTCCCGTTGCTTGTAAATCCTAGGCATTGTTTACGTCCCGCAGACGTTTTTCCAGTTCAGAAACCCGGCGGCAATTACACGGGATGAAATATGGAAGTGGAAAGGTCCAGGGTTCAGGAAAAATAAAATTAAAATAAAACAAACGGGCGAAAACTGTAACACTGTTCAAATTCGAGCACAAAATAAAAAAAAAGCAATATATGAGCTTATTCTATATTTAAATACTACAGATCTGATACAAATAAATATAAACATATCTCGAAGTAGTTAAACATATAAATTAACCTACAAAATAAAAAGGCAAATATTCCCGGAAAAAAGAATACTTTTATACAAGGAATCTAATGATTCCGATGTTCAGATTTTGTACCATCACTCATAATAATTAAATAGCTTGTGACCATCGCAAAGTGTGTTTAATTATTTATTAAATAAGGATAAATGTGTGGTGATCAGTGACGTTAGTCGATGATTATTCGGAAATCGTGAGATTTTGGTGTGATGTAGGTTTCAGAAAAACATTTTCTTTATCGTGCCAACGTTTCGATCTTTATTGAGATCATCTTCAGGGCCTGGGATTTACAAACATTGTTTAAATTTAGCAAACCTACATGTTTGTTAAATGTATTTGTAAATCCCAGGCCCTGAAGATGATCTCATCATGATGAAATAAAGATCGAAACGTTGGCACGATAAAGAAAATGTTTTTCTGAAACCTACATCACACCAGACCGCATCTCACGATTTCCAAATAATAAGGATAAAAATGGTCTGCCTGTACTCGGTTTTGATCTGTTGTCAAATTACGGCAAATTATTATCTAACCGTCTAAACATTAATGTATTCATTAATCACTTTGATGATGGGCAATATTGGGAGGAATTCACTAGTTTTCGCGGTCCGCTTGACCAATTAATATCTTTCAATTAATTAAGGTTTTTAGTTGAGATAAAAAAGTCAGTGTCACGAGCGGGATTCGACCCCACGCCCTTCGACTTCGATGAAATCACGATAGCTCAAGTGGTAGAGTAGCGGCGTATNTATCATTCAATTAATTAAGGTTTTTAGTTGAGATAAAAAAGTCAGTGTCACGAGCGGGATTCGAACCCACGACCTTCGGCTAGATACGCCGCTACTCTACTACTTGAGCTATCGATCTTCGATCCACTCGGATGCCAACATCCCACCCCAACCCCTCCTTTTGCTTATCGAAAGCTCAAGACCTCCGACCTTTTGGCAAAAAGGAGGAAAAATTCAAAAGGTGGGGTTGAGATGGGAAGTTAGTGTCCGAGTGGATCGAAATCACGATAGCTCAAGTGGTAGAGTAGCGGCGTATCAAGCCGAAGGTCGTGGGTTCGAATCCCGCTCCTGACACTGACTTTTTTATCTCAACTTAAAACCTTTATTAACTTAAAGATAATAATTGGTCCAGCGGACGAAAACTAGTGAATATATATTTAATCTTAAACGACGTATATATGTGATAAATTTTCAAAACTAAACTTCTTAAAGATGAAACACTTAATAGATATGTTTGCACGTATGATTTTCAAAGTTGTAAAAACTAAAAAAATCTAAGCATTACGAAAAATTACAATTCTCATCCTATGTACACTATTAATACTAGATAAAAACCATATCTGCATTTTGCGGTCATAAGTGACCGTATTTATTATCTTAATTAATTGTACTTTTAATCGAAGGTCTTAGGTGATATGAACTAGATATAAAAGTCAACACTTGCAAATTACAAGGCATTAAACTATGCATTTTAATACCCTTTTTTCTGAAAAGGCGCTAGATTTTATTCACTAACCCGCAAATAATGAAGAAAAATTCAAGTGTAAATAATTTTATGTCAAAATTAAGAAAAAATTGATAAAGAAGTAATTTTAGATGTATAAACGTATATTGCTTACACTAAAATAGATGATACAATTTTGTTAATATTTGGTTACATATGATTGTTATATTATATTAAGTTTCTCCATTGTTTACATATATTATATTGTAAACGTATTATTTTATTTTATTATTTTTTATGTTAAATTCAGTTTATTCGTTAAAACTAAAATAATATGTAGAACTTTATAAAGTAGATAAGTTTATTTGATTGTACATATGTAATTCACGTGCAATTAGATGTAAGAGTGGTCCTTCAGATCATATATTGCGTGTTAAAAAAATAAATCGTTAAATCATTCATTCATTTTCTAAGATAACAGAAGAATCTAAAAAATTAATTAAAACTGTGAGTAAAAATGTAAACAATATCGAAATTATTTTAGAATGGTGATTAGTGACCGTTAGTTGATGATTATTCAGAAATCGTGACATGCGGTGTGATGTAGGTTTCAGAAAAAGTTTTTTTATCGTGCCACGTTTCGTTCTTTATTGAGATCATCTCCTGGGATTTACAAACATTGTTTAAATATAACAAATACACGTAGGATGTGGAAAAAAGTGAATTTATACAGTGCAAAGCAAACACTTTGAGCCCTGAAGATGATCTCAATAAAGATC